TGGAGGAGCTCGACTGTCGAAGGTGACTGGCGGGCGAGGGGCGAGGATGGGTCTGATCTTGCGCAGCGGCAGCCGTCATCTTGACGGTGACACTGTTGTCGAAATTCGAATTTGGCACGCAAACCACCTATGAATCGATTACCGCGACGACATGTCGGTCGTGAGGCGTCGGGTAGGATGAGGTGGATGAAGATATTGGACAGGCGATTGCGTCGGTGACGCGAATTTGGAGTTTTTGGAGAGGTTGACGGGAGTGACAGGTCAGGTCGGGTCAGGTTGGCAGCGCAGCGCAGCGGCTAACACCCGACTTCAGCTAAGCGTGGCAGGCAGTGGAGGTACACAAGGTGAGGTGCGGTAGAGGTGCACCAGCCAAAATTTAGGAATGGTACCTTGGGCTGAGGTCAGCTTCGACCACCAGCCTATCAGGTGTCGGGAACAATCACCTGCCTTCTGCTTCGCTCGCTCCGAAAGCTTCTTCCGATGTTCCGATAGAAGTATTCCTAAAATTCACCTGTTTCTAAGGTACCTACAATGTCTTTTGATATATTCACTTGATGCTTCTAGTTAAGAGACAAGTGATGATGAGCATGTCTTAGGTACTCAGGATCAATGGTTCATCTTATGTCCAAATTGTACTCGGGTCACATGGAGATACCTTAAGGCATGCTGCTTTACCTTATGTACTGTAAATGCATGGAGATGGCAAAACGAATCAGAAATGATGGACGGGAGGCAATTGATGACCCGACTCTGACCGCCTTTCAGCTCCACATCTCCGCATTTCGTCCAGTCTCCCGCGTCCACTCTGACGAAGCGCAGAAGGCAGGAACAGATCCGAATCGGGGGGAGATGAGGTAAGAAGGCCTCGGCCGGATGCACGGTCCAGGCCCGGCTCAGAGACGACACAAGGGCGCTAGTCCATAATGAGCAACCCGAGTTCCAATTCAATGCACCTTCCTCCGTAGGTTCATGAATCTTCACATGGCTCTTTCTTGTGGCCTCCCTCGTGCAACCAGCATTGAGCAGGACCAAAGTTCAATCAGTCTCATTCTGTCACAGGCTGGGGTGGCATCAACGAACGCATCGGGCTCCGCGTTTGTCCTGGGAAAGTATTCGTGGGCCGGGTCTTGCTTGAAACTGTACTTGCGAACGGTGAACTGGTTTTAGGCGGCAGGCCCCGTTGGATCACCGCACTTGCCCTCTCTAAATGAACACATGGGGATACTTCGAGGGTGGTGGTGGATTCCCAAGAAATGGAAGTGTGCCTGACAATCAATTGGATGTTTATCAATCTTGCGACATACGCTATCTACCCGGCTATACTATATCGCAGGCTTATTCACCGCGCGAGCAAATCGGAGAAAACATTCCTCGCAACATCACTCAGGCACGGTGGGGAATGGGCTGGCGGGAGGCGGGCGCGTTAGAAACAATGTCTTGCTCCAAACGGCCGGCTCGCTCTCTGTTCTTCCTCGCTCTCCTTTTTGTTTCCCTTCTTTCCGTTTATTTTGCGGGGATGTCGTTTTCCTTTTTTTCCTCTTCTTTTTTTATGGATCGTCGCATCCCTCTCCGTTGGCCTGGCGCACGTCATACCGGCCGTGTTGCGTGTCGCTGACCCATTTACCTCTGTCCTGACTCCTGGGGTTCGTTGGCCTTTGTAGCTGCCACGATTCGAGGTGGGATTCGCCTCAAATTGCAAGCTGCAAGTGGGCTATGGAAATCCATCGCTTGTGTTTCTTCTGAATTGCGGCTTGGCCGTTTCTGCCTTTATGCTGACGACGACGATCACGACGATGGGGGGGGGGGGGGTGCCCGCTATGCTTGTAGCTCACCGCATGCCCTGCTTCAGGGTCATTCGTTGTTGAGACGGTTTATGCTTGGAGACCTGCCCGATCGCCGAATGCGGCTGCGCTCTTAAGACTGTCGACTTTATAAGATGGACTGGTCGGTTCGTCGTCGGCCGGTGCGTCCATGCGCCATCAGAGGTCATCGCGAGGGTCCATCCTGTTTGCTCACCCAACTCGAACCTGGACCGACCCTGCCCCCAACACGAGCCTCAATTCACATCGCGCTCGCTCATCGTCTCGCTCACGCCGTCGACGATCAAAGTTGGACGCCAGCCGCCGCCGCCGCCGCCGCGTGGCCAGCTTTCCGTCTCCCGCCTGCTTCAGGGCAACGCTAATGCTCGCTCACCAGAATGAACGTTCACATCTTGCTCTCAGACGCGCTATCTCAGTACAACATTCTTGCGCCGAATTTAGCAGGCAGGCTAAGCCGATAGGTTAATTTGCCAGAATTCCATGCCTTTTTCCATCAAAGTCTATCTCTGCGCCACCACCACCCTTCCACTGCTCATGCGCCAGGAGTCTTCAGGCAAGGCTCACGCCCAATATGGCATGGTGAGATGCTTTCAACGTCTGTGGTGTGGAGCACGCTCCCTGTCCTGAGCCGTGGTTTGCACAGTGTACCTACTCGGACATGACAGACATCGCGACAAGTATCTAATTCCATACTTTGGAAGGAGACCAACAAACGTCCGTTTGCTCCCCCGTCACTCGTGGGACCTTCGTCCTCGGAAGTCTTTCCCGTCTTCTCGCTCTTACGCTGTCCAATTCTTTGCGGCCGCTGCCGAATTTCGAAGCTTCAACGAGTCCGTGTGCCAGGAAGGCTGCCGAATGGCGTTGAAGCTTTGGGAGACTTGAAACGCACCACCTCATGGCAGATGGACCCCCTGAAGGGAAATTATCCTCAACGTATCAATGGAACCGCCGCCCTCTTTGACTGCTACGGAGGAGACGACCCCCTGAAGCCACGAGTTTTGCGGGCTACCGTTAACCATTAACAGCGTCTGTTATGCCCCAGAGTGGCAGGGGAAGAATCTTCTCATTGCCACGAGCCTCATCGTCTTTTCCCTCTTTGGTCGTCTTTCTTCCTTGGCGGCTGGCCCGGGGCCCGGAACGAGGGCGGGAACAAGATGAGGATGTTCATGAATTCCTGTGGCATGGATGCGCCGCCTCGGCTGCTTGTCAGACATGTACGTACGATGAGTACATGCGTCAAGGACATTTGTTTGAACAGGCCGGGATGAGATCCTTTGATACGCTGTTTCTTGCTCAGCATGCCCAGACTGGCGGCAGGGTGTTGGGGGCCGGAATGCCAGTAACTGAACGTCATGTGCTTCCATGTCTCATCCCGAGACCTGATGTTTGTCAAAGAAGAAATACACGACGAATACCCTACCGGTAAGTGTACTGTACTTGTCGCCCGTCCAGTCCACGGGCATCAAATTGACTTTTAGGGCCAGCTCGTGCCTCGGGTAGGTGGCACAGAATACGACATTTACGGGTGCGCGGACGTTCAGTTCAGGCTTCAGCAACAAGAAGGCTGATCATTTTGACTGCAGAAGGTATTCGTACCAGAACGGACGTCGCCCGACTCGAACCTCAGGATGTGTGCTACCTTCCGTAGTATCGTGATGGGGGCAGCAGTTGGAGCAATTGGAGCCTTTGATGGGGGCCGATGTCACGTTGATGATGTGAGCGGGTTGTTGTTGAGGTTTCCTGTCCTAAATGGGCAAGATTCCACAGTCTCTTGACTGATGGCCATGGGTACGCATACCGGGGCCAAAAACTGGCAAAGAACCCAGAAGGTATGTGTGTCCCTTGAAAGGGGATGGAACAGCTGGCTCTAATTACTCCGTACAACTCGTTCCTGGAGGGTCGGGAAGATCAACGCCAGGAAGGCTGATTTGACTCTGACTCAAAGTCGCACATGGCACTTGGCGCGCATCAGCTTTTGTCCAGACTACAGAGACAACGAGACGTCGAGGGTGCGAAGCTTTCCACCCACCTGCCACACTTTGGAGTTGAAAGAGGAGGTTGAAAGAGAAGTGTTCGAACAATAGGCAGGTGGGCGGAAAAGTGGGAGCTAAGCACCCAAGGGAAGGGACAGACTTGATCAGCAGTCAACCAGCCGACGAGACGGGCGCCTCAGGTCACGCTGGACAAGCTCTTGATAGGTAGTAATAATAGAACAGAGAACCTTTAATCCTCATCAAGATGTTTGGATGGTAGGGTAGGTACATGGGACACCAAGCCAAGGCAAGCCAAAGTCAAGTACCTTTTTCGCACTTGAGCCAGCAGCTAAGAGGCAACGGTCCCTTTTCTCGCTCTGGTGGCAGCCTGTCAGGTAGGTACCTACGTAGTGCGCTCTTACGGCATGCTTAATGATACGGTGCAATTCACAAGGCCTCGTCGTGTCTCCAGCTAAGGTAGCCCGCCCCTTTTGAAGGAAACGGGAAGTAGACCACCGTGCATAGCGATGTACTGAAGAGTGACACGGTTTGAGAGGGTACGACCCACGTAGTGTCGAGTATTCTCAATGTCCCGCCTGATGTCCGAGAATCCTAGGTAGGTTCCTTCCATTCCCTCCTTTCCCCCCACCGTCGCGAAGAAAGCGCCTGCAGCCTCCCCGTGCTCTTCTGAAAAAGTTTCCCCTTCTGCTTGGATGCTGGGCTCTCCCCTACTCAGCCCTTGCACCCCCATCCATAAGCGAGCGGAAACTCAAGCTGCACGACATCCCATTGGTCCAACATCAGCTAAGAACAAGCCCCTAGACGCGAGTGCAGAGTGCAGATGTGCAGGGCAGGTTGCAGGGCGGGCTAAAGCAGTCAAGTTGGTGGGCGGAGAACAGGCCAGCGCAGCGACCCGGCGGAGCCAGTCAGTGCAGGAACAGGAGCCCCCCGAAACGATGGAGAGAGAGACTACGAGTGCCCAGGTAAGCTGTAGCCCAATGGCAGAAGGTACTTCGTAGCTAGCACTGGGCTGCAACATTTTTAGGTGCACTTTACCAGGTTCCGCTGTTACTCCTGCATTTTGGAGGTGAATTCCATCAGCCCAGCAGCATTGGTCCAATGTCCTTTTTTTTCCCCCCTTCTGCCCCCTTCCCCATCGCTTCCCAATCTCAAGAGTGGCATTTCTCCCAAAACCTCCTTTCTACAACGGCGGAGAGAGAGAGCGAGGTAACGAAGTGACCGACACACTCTCGGAAAAGACCACTCTAGCCAGGCATTCTTTTCTTTCGCTACATCACCAGCTTCCTATCCAACTTCGACCATCCTTCGCTTTGCGATCGCCGTACCTATCAGCAGACACCTGACTGCGTCTTCCTGGCCCGAGAGCCTAAAGTAATAATAAATCAGCCACGGACAGAAAAGATACGGCAATCCGAAGGGGAAAACGCCTAAGAAGGAGAGGGCCAAAAAAAAAAACGAGTAATCAAACCCCTAAAAATCCGACGAGCCAACCCCCGTCAGCAACAGCTCTGCGTACGCGCGGAGTCGACATCGTCCCGTCTCGCCCAACACCCAGCCTCCTTTCGTTTCTCACCCCTCGCTCCCTTACCACCTTACTCGCTTCACTGCGCCGACGAGGAGGACCGCAATAAAAAAAAAGACGAGGTCGAACATCGCAGGACGCTCCTCGCCTCAGCAACGCGCGCTACCCCGGGCACACTCCACCGATGCGAACCCAGCCATCCGCACACTCGAGCGTCGACTCCCTTTCCCGTTCCTGCGTATCTGCTGCGTTCCTGCATCCGCTGCATCTCCATCGCGCATCACCCGACTCGGCTTCCCAGCGAACTGGCGATAGCACCCACTACCCGCATCATCGACTCCACGACTAACGTGCGACTTGAGCGACTTTTTCCATTATCGTGACGCCCCTAAACAACCTGTTCAACCAACGACCGAAACGATTCAATTGATACCCCCCAAAATTTCGAGCGCACTGGACACGACTTACGAGCAAGTCTCTCTGCAACTGCCGCTCAGCGTGCAGGCCTCGATTTGATTCGCCATGGCTTTTCTTTTCAAGTCCAAGAAGAATCAGGATCGAGCTCTTGCAAGCCGCGATGGAAACTCTGGCGGCTCGCAGGGTTCAATCCAGAGTCAGCGAGAGAGAATCGCGAGAGAGGAGAAGAACGGCACTCAGCGCTCAACACCAACCGGTAGCCTGAACTCAATCGATCGCGATGGCAGCGCCGGTGCTGGAAGCCCTGACCAAGGCTACACTCGTCAGCGAGGACCCAGCGTGGACCAAATACCGACACAAGCGCCTTCAAATGATTTGCCTGTAAGTTTCTCCAGCTCACCTTGATGAGCTGGCACTGCTGGGACACTGCTGACCTCTTTCCCAGCTTCGCAACGCTCCCCCCGTATCCTCGCAAAACCAGATGCCTCCCCAACAACAAATGATGAACCCTAATGCGTCGCTATACCCCTGGTCGCAACGACGACTGACATATACCTCTTCACACCCGAGCCCTTTCCCCCGTTATGGAGCGGCTGTCAATTCGGTGTCGTCCAAGGAGGGCGATATATACGTGATGGGAGGTTTAATCAATAGCTCCACCGTCAAGGGCGATTTGTGGATGATCGAGGCCGGGCAGAACATGGCCTGCTATCCTCTGGCGACGACAGCCGAGGGGCCAGGACCGAGAGTTGGGCACGCAAGTTTGCTCGTTGGTAACGCCTTCATCGTCTATGGAGGTGACACCAAAGTCGATGAGATGGACGTCCTGGACGAGACGCTCTATCTTCTCAACACCTGTGAGTTCTATCCTCATCATTTCCCGTGCACTCCCTTGCGAGAAGTTGGGCAATCGTTAATCAATACCAGCTACGAGACAATGGTCGAGAGCATTGCCCGCTGGCACCAGGCCTTCTGGCCGCTACGGCCACTCTCTCAACATACTCGGATCCAAGATTTACATCTTTGGCGGTCAAATCGAGGGCTATTTCATGAACGACCTCGCTGCTTTTGACCTTAACCAGCTCCAAATGCCCAACAATCGGTGGGAGATGTTGATTCAGAACACCGAGAGTGGCGGACCGCCCGTCGGCAAAATTCCAGCTGCCCGAACCAACCACTCTGTGGTTACTTACAATGACAAGATGTACCTGTACGTAATGCGTCAAGTCTTGCGCTGGTATCACTGCTGACGTACTCTAGCTTCGGTGGTACAAACGGTTATCAATGGTTCAACGATGTTTGGAGCTACGATCCCGCCACGAATGAATGGACGCAACATGACTGCATCGGCTATATCCCAGTCCCTCGAGAGGGCCACGCTGCATCAATTGTCGACGATGTCATGTACATTTTCGGAGGACGAACGGAAGAGGGTGTTGACCTCGGAGATCTCGCCGCCTTCAGAATTACTTCGCGCCGCTGGTACACCTTCCAGAACATGGGCCCTTCACCCTCTCCCCGATCCGGTCACAGCATGACCACCGTTGGTAAGGCCGTGGTAGTCGTCGGAGGCGAACCATCTTCGTCCCCCGCCAGCGTTGGCGACCTCGGAATAGTCTACATGCTCGATACGACAAAGATTCGATACCCGAACGATGCGGCGGCAGCACAACAACCTAATGGACCTCAGGCGAATGGCCAGCAACGCCCACAACAGGCGAGGCGGCCCAGTGCTGCAGCTGAGACGAGGAATATCTTATCACGAGACGGTTCCCAGGGTCCTCCTGATCAAAAACGACTAGTAGGCGCCCCTGGCGCACCTCGCGATGCCTCCGCCGTCAACAGCCCCACAAACGGCGTGCGAGGATCTCCCAACGGAACGGACGCGAACCCGGCGGCAGTCAACAACATGTCGAAACTCCCCAGATCTGCAGTGACATCGCCCCCGGCTGGCCCCCCGCCCCAAGGACCAACACCTGCAAAGCCTTCAGTTCAGACTGGAAACTTGGGAAGAGTTAGGGGACAGTCATCGGAGAGAGATGGATCTGTAGGTGGTTCACCGCAGATTGCTGCAGGCCAGTCCCCCGTAATACGTGAGGTTAAAGAGCCAGCGTCCAAAGACGCAGAGAGCCCAGTCACCAATGGCCGACGTACTCCTCAACAAGTCACAAGATCTGGCTCCAAGTCTGAATCGGGTCCTTCTGAGCCTTCCAAGACCAGGTCTAGGCAAGGTAGCAGGTCTCAGACCTCCGTGGATAGTACAACTGAGCCAGCTTTGAAGGCAATGCAGATTCAACAGCAAGCTCAAATTCAACCACCACCTCAGACGCAAGCACCGCCGCCTGCTCCAGTTCAACCTCCTGCTCAGGCACAGCCGCCGCCACCAACCCAGAAGCAGTCGCCGATCCAAGTGCAGCAACCTATCCGCCCGGCCTCGCCACCGGCTCCCACCCGTCAAGCCAGCAATCCATTGTCCCGACGATCCTCTGGCCGCACCTCACAGACTGTCGCTATACTGAAGGAGTTGGATACAGCTAGGAACCGCAACGCTTGGTATGCGTCTGAGCTTGAGTTGGCCCGTAAGGCTGGCTATGTTCCCAACGCAAGCCTCAGCCCTGTTCTTGACAGCAGAGCCGCAGAGACTTTTGATGACGAGGACAAACCCCTTATCGAGGCTCTTTTGGCCATGAGAACCGAGCTCGCCAATGTTCAGGCATCCGTTGACAAGCAAGCCATTCTCGCTGCGAAACAAATCGCCGAAGCAGAGAAGCAGCGAGACGCTGCAATTCAAGAGGCGGTATATGCTAAGGCAAGAGTCGCAGCCCAGATGGGTGGGAGCGTTGCAAGCACTCCTCAGCTAGACGGCGAACGAGATGTAGATGACCGTTCCACCGAGATCAGCCGCAAGCTGGCTTCTGCCCTGAACTATCAAAAGGACCTCCAAGCCCAGCTTGAGATGATGAAATCCGAGCTTGAAGCTGAGAAACGCGCCCGCCTCTTGGCCGACGACACCACCAATGCTTCCCAGAAGCGCATGAACGAACTCGAGTCCTACAAGACAATGACTTCTACCGAACTCGAGCAGCTCAAGGCCGAGCTGCACATGGTGCAGAAAGAAGCTAGGGAGCAGGCTGTTCAATACACAGAGGCCATGGCTGCGATTCAGCTCATGACCGTAGAGAAGGACGAGTACGAGAAGAAATACAACGATTCCATCGGCAGCTCTAAGGAGCAAAACGATACCTTCGACTCTCTCCGTACCGCCATGGCTGCTTCCGCAGAGATGAAGGCGCTTTTGGAGGGCAAGCTGGAGGAGGAGCGCTCTCAAAGAGAGCAACTCGAGTCCAAGTTCAACAAGCTCAAGGCGGAACACGAAGCGCGCACCACAGAGCTCGTAGCTGCAACTCAGCGACTGCGTGACGCTGAGGAGATCGCCGAAAAGCACGCCAACGAAGCCAAACTCCACCAGCAAGCTGTGCTGGCCGGATTCGACAAAGTCACCGCGAGGAATATCGGATCCGACGGCAAAGCCGACGAGGGACGTGCCAAGGCATTGCAGGCCCAGCTCGTCGCTGCGAACGCGCTTGTTAAAAAGTACCAACAAGAGGCCGATGCTGCGGCTGATAAGCTTCGCACTGCGGAAGAGCGCATTGCTGGATTGGAGGTCTACCAGGAGCAGTCCAGTCGCGAGGGTGTGGCAATCAGGAGACAGCTCCAGGCGGCTCTCAGGGACACTCAATCTCTGCAGGCTAAGAATTCAGACCTGAAGCACCAACTTCAGAACCAACAGCTGGAGACCAACGCGATGACCGTGCAACACAACACCCTCAAGGATATCCTCGTGGAGCGTGGCATCAGCCCCACGGGCATGTCACGGACCCGAAGCATTGGCAGCCCGCGAGTGAACACTCCCGAGGCGGCCCGCATTCGCGATCTTGAGGATCAGCTCAACGCCGCGTTGACCGCCCACGAAGAGAATGCACAGCGCAGCACAGCTCAGCAGGAGGCCAGCGAAGCTGCGTACCGTGAAAAGCTCAGCCAATTAGAAAACGACTATCAGTCTGCTGTGCACTACGTCAAGGGTACGGAGAAGATGCTGAAGCAACTCAAGGAGCAGCTCGCCAGGTACAAGACCGAGAATGCCAAGCTCAAGAACGAGGTCATCGAGCTTGAGGATCGCGTGGAGGCATCCGCCGGCAACGACGGAAATGCGCCTGCCAGCTGGGAAAGCGAACGCCACATTCTCCAGGAGAAGATTGAGGCCCTTGAGGAGGACTTGCAGGCGTCCACGGAGCAGCTTGAATCTCAGCTCACTGCGGTCAGAAAGGAACTGGAGGATAGCAAGAAGCAACGCGAGGGCGCTCTCAAGGACGCTGAAGAAGCTTCCCGCAAACTCGCCGCCAACCGCCGGGACTTGGAGAGCCTCCAGCAAGAGAACCTCCTCCTCGAGCGTCGCGCCCAGGATGCCGAAGGCAAGGTCTCGCTGCTTCTCGACCAAGTCGAGAACTCAGTCGATAGCTACCGCCGGCAAAGTAGGCAGGCACCGAGCATGACCTCTGACCTGACCGAGAGGGGTACCAACGGCAACAGCGCGGGACACCGACGACAGGACAGCTCTGACGCGGACAGCACCTACGGTGCAGTCGCTGGCGGAGTCGACGGACGCAATAGCACTGCGTTAGACAATCTGGCCGATGAGCTCGAGACTCTGCGCACCCACTGGGAAGCCACCAACAAGAACTACCGTCTCAGCAACACTTTTGACTTTGAGGGCGCCGCGACCCCTACTCGTAAGGACGAAGAAGTCGGACTTGGCCTCAGCGAAAGCCTGGCCGACTGGCGCAAGCGACTCGACGTAGACGAACAAGCCGAGAACGACCGAGCGAAGACGAAAAGCCGACCTGACCGGCCTTAGTCTGGCGTTCTGCGACGCATGAACTCTCGCTTCTCTACGTGACAACCTCCGGCGTTCATCACTACACTTTCTGTACATTCTTTGACTGCACACGGTCCGCCGCGGTTTGCAGTCCGCAGTTGGAAGGAGTTTTCGGATTTTGGGGATTTGGTTTCGACGCGTGGGCTCTGTTCTTCGTTTCGCAATGATTCAACGTACTCATGACGAAACAACCTTCGCTTAATTCCCCCGCCCTTTTTTCATCGCGTTTCCTTTTCTTTTTCTTTCTGAGTTCATGGATTTCTCATTTTTTGATGATACACTACACACAACCATGACCACTGCTTGCTTGTTCTTCGCCGTGGACGTACGAGAGCAGGCCAGGCGCACAAGGGTCACTTCTATTCTTTGAGATGGGTGGATGACACTATCAGAGAGATTGAGCACACGTGCCCAGTTGCCTTTTTTTTTCTTTTACCATAATGTACAATACTGTTGTTTTTTTCCTGAGAAGCCTCATCTTGACACTGAAGGGTCCCATCCCCTTCACGTCAAGAACATGGGGGAGGCAAAAAAATGAAGAGGAAGGCGCGCGCGCAGGACGTTTGATGACTGATCAACGAGCGGAGCGGGGCTGGCTCAGAGGGACAAAAGATAACGACAATAAGCGACCGTCGAGGATTCTCCCGTACGGTTTTGACAACAAATTCTTTTTTCACAATGCGCTCATACATACTGAAGATGGGGCTGGTGATTCCTGGTGACTTGTGACGATGGTTGGGATTAGCAGCGTGACGATGTCTACCTAGGGTTTGGTCAAACGATGAGACGATTGCTAACACTGAATGTGCCTGATATTGTGTTGTGATGTGCACACGTTTGTGTGTATAGGCGTGTGTTTTCCAAAACAAGTCGATACCCGCATAAGGAGCTTGCTCCTTCTTATCATCAACGGCAGTCCTCACTGTTGGGCAGGCAGGTGAGAGCCATTGTTGAGCTCCTCAGGGTGGTAGATACTGTAAGGAAATAGTTGAGATCGGTTCTTGGCTGGACGGTCCCCCCTTTCCCATTACAGAGGTCGCGCGGTACCATGCTCAGCAAAGCACGGATCTGGTTACTGTAGTCTTTTTCTTGACGTATTGTCTGTCTCCTCAAGACGGTTGGTGTTGGGGAGTATATCTCATCGTTACCCGGCGTTACGGCGTTACGGTGTTAAGGCGTCAATGGGAACGGGGTATAAAATGTCCCTCTTCATCTTACTCTTTTGCGGGCAGGCCATTTTTGCGGAAGCCTCTTGGAGCCGTGGCGCCAAGAGGACGACCTCTGACAATCGAAGAGCTGCAGCATGCCTTCGCGGGGGAACTTCCTGACACATCGGGGTAGGTTTTTGTGCTGTAACCCTGTAAATACTCCCCGTATAGGGAGACTTCTTGGGCGTTTAATCTCACTCGAGCACACTATCCCTTATTTATTCGAGTTGTTATACTCTCACGAAGCGGCCGGCTACTGGGCGATACACAGGTTTATCTTTTCTAAGGTAGACGTTGAAATGAAACAGACTCGGCGATTTAGTCTTTTTCCAACTCTGTACAGCGTGCTCAGCGCCCAAGGAGGGAGATGACACCTTCCTTCCCAAGCTATCAGCCAGACGACGAGGACGTGCTGGTGTCGGTGTCGAATAGACTACACAGCATCTGGAGCTCGAGGTGTACCTTTATACTACTACAACAGATGAGGCTTGCCCCCTGCGGTCTTCCCTTGGATAGCTAAGGTGGATATATAGGATATCCATTTTTGATCCTCAGGGTAAAGAGGGCAGAACAGATTCAAGATTTTGGGTGAGGACACCCCATTGAGGAACTCATCCCTGATGTGATATTGTCGCTCGAAATGTCTCCGTCTCATAGTCCAATATTCATCCAACCAACCAAAGCTAAAGATTTCCTCATCGCAAGGCTAATTCCGTGTATACATATTCGGGCCGGAATACAATTGAGATAGTCAGGCTTGTCAAGGCTACCTACCTGAGAATGCTCTCTGTTATCTTATCACCTGGGGATCCTGTACATTCAACGGCATAGACGTCAAAAGACACTCCAACGTAGCGCAGTTCACTTGGACAGGATGCAGTAGACTAAACCCAACCCAATCGACATCGGCGGCGCCTGGAAATACAACCCTTCCGGAGTCCCCCTCCCCTTAAATATGAAGTCCAGCCAAAGTGTCAGAGCGGTGTTTCTCGATAGTACTTCTCACTGAAGAAGGGATCTCTAGAAAACATGAGGTGATTTGATCTGAGTAGAACCTCCTTTGCATCGACAGATTTGGATACGTCGGCCTCATCAAAGGTAAGAGGCCGCAACGTATAATAGAAGAGGTACACTACTAGCATAGGAGCGCCAGTTTGTCCTCTCTAAGCCAAACCAAGATCTCTCTTGATCCCCGCAACGAGTGCGGTAGTAAGTCTTTGCTCTAGGGTTGGATAGGAAACTTTTGACTTGGTTGAGGGATCTCATTTGCGAAGTTTCTCAAGCTTCCCCAGCTCCAGCATGAGTTGCGCTGACGGGGTCGTCAATAGACTCTTCCGCCTCGAACCCGTACGGACGCCACTCAATGAACACAGGCCGCCATACCGAAGGAAGCACGAGAGGCAGATTCTAAAACATTCTTACACAACACTGAACCTCCACCCGTATCATTCGAGAGCAAAAGCCAACAGCCTACGACGACGACAAGCAACTCGAACCAGTGATCTAACAAGCAAGTTCCATCGGTATCACAAACCGGCCTACAAGACAATCACACATCTAACCTCATTACTTCACCAGCATCCCTACCTCCCGCAGCGCACACTAAATTTTACTTTACCTCACCATGACTAAAAGTAATACTCCCCTCACCCCCACAAACCACACCTCGGATACTCATTCCACCGAACAAGACCCTTAACGCGGGGGTGGAAAGTGTGACGTGGAGTCACGCGTGGAGTCGGGGGTTCAAGATCCCATTACCAGGGTAAAAACGTCGGGGGGTCCTGACAGATCAAACAGGGAAGTCGCCCGGAGCAGCGGCGGACGGACTGAGACCCCACATACCCTTTCGGCTCCGCAGCTTCTCCGGCAAGGCGGTCGAGTCGGGTACCCACCCCATGCCACCTCAACTCAGGTAGGTAGTCCGTGCTCTCACCGACGGATAACGGCCTTTGGAGTCTTTGACGACCCCCCCCTGCCCTTGAATCTCGATGCTTGGATCGTTCCAAGGCAGACGCGGCACGAACCCCGCCATCTCACCCGTTTTCCCCGCCCCCCTCCCCCCTCTCTCTGTGTACTACCTACGGTCTTCTTTTATCACTCGCTCGCTGCCTTTGTGTAACCTCAGATGGCCGGTCAGTTGGAATCAAGCAGGCCCATTTCACAGCTCACATCACAGTTCATGTCAGATGAAATCATGTTCAAGCATAAAAGAGGTATCTCAGTTTATATCATCCGGTTGCAGAGCTCTAGGTATAACAAGATCCAAAGTGATAAGTCCTCTGAATTCCCCAGTCCCATCTCCTCCCGCAAAAAGAAATCATGTGTCGCCGGCGCTCGTCCAAGTCTTTCAAAGACGCCCTTCTAGAACGCTTGGAAAATGGATTCCTTATCCCGCCCGCAAAATCCGAAGACGCCCAGATACGTAACCGTACGCTCATTGTAAGCAAGAAAGGTCCCAGTCATGCTCGTAAAATAAGATCCGCCTCTTCGCGTCAAAGCAGCTTCGTGATATCCTTCGACTTTGGTCGACCCCCGTCAAAGTCTCCTTCATTACTCGGCGCATTAGGTCATGTATCCGAACTGACGAGCGCTCTAGTAGTCCTTGGTTCATTCGAGATTCGATTCGATTGGGAATCCATGTTGAATGCACCGTAGGTATCGCCGGCCTCGCATGCAGGATATCGAGTAAGCAAAGCATATAGCCCAAATTATCTTTCTTCGTGTAGGCGGACCAAAAACAGAAGACCGCCGCGCAATGACCAGTAATCACGGCCATGGTGGTATCAAACAAAATTCGTAAAAATAATAGCCAGTAAAATCATGATGCGCCGTGACCATATCAAAAGTCAGATAGACCTTGGAACAGAAAATTAGCGTGCCACGACACCACCGCCCCTAACGGGGAATAGGTTAGAGAGAGCCCTTGTGCAGCATTTCCGGGGCGAGCACTGCCGCTCGCTACTATCGTCTGGTCGTTGCGTGAGGGAAATTCACATCCCCTTTACAGACTCATCGTAAGCCATTCCCACTCCTGCGGACCGGAAGCAGGGCCTCCTGGGTTCATCATCTGGCCATTCTGGCCCCCAGGCATTCCCATCATGCCGGTCCCCATCATGGGGCGTTGAGTCATTCCGAAGCCGTTGGCCAAGCCCAGCGAGCCCGCCGTCGGCATGCCCGCAAGACCAGTGGCGGATCCAAGTGACTTTGCAGCCTCGTTGGGAGATCCGGTCGAGGTCTCGGGGCTGTCTACATCCATGCCTGCGAGGCCTTCGCTGCCAGCACTCTTGCTGTGACGACGCTGGCGCTTGGACGAGCCTGAAGAAGAGGATGTTCCGGCATTGCGTGACAGGGCTGCAGCACCGGGCCCAGGGGTGTTCTTGGGTGGAGCAGCAGCAATCGGCACGACGCCCTTTCCTCCGGCAGCAGCGCCGGTAGAGGAGCCTGTGCCGTAGCTCGTCGGTGTGCTACCCGCCGTGTTTCCGCCCGATGCGGCACCGCTAGCAGGGCTCTCCCCCTCGTTCGCACTACCGGCTCGAGCGGCAGCAGGTGGTGTAGTGACGTTGTTCGCCGGAGTAGAGACCGCAAGCGTTGAGTTCTTGCGGGAGCCCGGGCCCGATGCGCTCGCTGCGTTCTTCTTCGATCTCGTGCTTGTCCCCCCTACAGGCAAACTGGCTCCAGACCCGCGATTCCTCTTCTTAATCACGTCCGTCTTCAAACTCAGAGGACGAACAACCCCGTGCAACTTGAGGAACAAACCGCAGGCGTTGCAGAGGGGTTGGCCCTCGGGATTGCGTCGCCATAGTGGCGTGGTCTGAGTGAAGCAGTTGGTGCAAGTTGTCGGAGCGTTGCCTTCGCCTTGAGCACCAGCAGCGGCCTGTAGGTTGGTTGTAGAGCCCGACTTGGAACCGGGAGGAGAAGATGGCCGGCTGGGGGCGACGGAGGAGAAGCCAGACACCGTGCCATTGTTCTCTGGTGGGGAGTTGGGCGTGGATTGCGCCATGCGGTCAAAGGGGTTTCCGTTGCGGCCGAGATGACCGGCGGGCGTGGACGCTGTGCGCGGGACCTTGCCGCCCCTCCTGTCGGATCCTTGCCTGAAGGACTGCGACTGAGACCTCGGCAGGTTACCGCCTTCCCAATCGTTGTCAACGTAGTCCGTTGTGGTACCGCCGATCGTAACCTGCTTTCGCGGGGGACCGCCGGGATAGCGCGCCGCTTGTGTGCTGTACTGACCGGGCAGAGAAGGATCCCAGCCCAGTGAGTTGCTCTCGTCCATCGGTCCCGGGGAGAAGTCCTGAGACGAAATGACCAGGTTGCGATCAGCAAAGGCGCCGCCATCCTCCTCGTCCGAATCGGCGCCAAAGGTGAACATGCCCTCGTTAGGGAGCGACATGCCACGAGAGCGCACTGGATGGTCAGGCTGGAATACCTGTGTTGGGTCGATGTGCCCAAACGGGCTCGGTGCGCTGCTGGAGGCGAAGACAGACTCCGTGGTGGGCGCGGAGGCAGGGAACATGGGGTTGCCGTTGGTGTTGTTATTGTACATGAATTGCTGGTTCATTTGGTTTCCCATGCTTTGACCGCCTTGTCGGAATTGTTGTGACCTTTGGCCACGGATATCCATGGAGCCAAAGTAGAAGCCGTCGTTATCAGTCATGGCGTGCGGCGTGGTGACGGTGGAATGATAAGCCGATCCTGGGGGCGAATAGAAATCTGAGGGGTTCAGAGAAGAGGATTGAACCGAGGATCCGTTGTAAACACTGGAAAACGGGCCGTGGGGTATCATGGGTGAGGTAGATGGTGAGAAAGAGAAGTTCTGTTGGAAGGGGCCGGCGGAGGTGATGATAGGGTCATTTTCGATGTTGTAGGTATCTAGTGGGAAAGGAACGCCGTTCTGATGCGGGTTCTGCGACATATTGTTCTGGTTGGCGTTATCGAGAGAATATTCGTGAAGTTCTGAATCCGCATCCAAGTCATTGGTTGTTGTCGTGGTGCTGTTGACTGCGGGCACATGGGGAGAGAAATCGGCCGGACGTTTACGGGTCTAAGTGCGAACGGGGTCAGCTCAGCGAAGACGAAAGTGGCACTAACATGATATCGGGGGCGTGTCTCAATGTAGCAGTGGAGGGGGGTGCGCAAGATAGGAAGATAAAAAAGCGCCCAAAACAGTCGAGCATGCGCCGAAAAAAATAAAGGGTGCATCCAAACGCATGGTTTACAGCAAGAGAAGGGAAAAAAGGGTATTTCCAAGGATGCAATGAAATTTTGGGCTTACCCGTCGCTCGTCAATGCTCGTTTTCCGGTGATGGCGAGTAATGTAGTTGAACTCGTCATGGGTCTTTTGGTGGTGAGGCGGGAAGGGGACGGATTGTGGGACAAAGTGCTGCTGGGCAGCTGAATCTTTGCGCGATTTGATGGGGATGGCGGAAGCGAAAGAGGGATGCATCTGATTCTTCTCTTCGTGGTGTTTTGTTGTTGGTTGAGGCGAGGGATTTGTGACTGGCGTTGCGATATTCTCGGAGAAAATGAAGTCATCGAGGTTCATGGGTTCTGGGTGGTTCACGTTCTGTTCTGACGACTTGCGCAACTGGGCAATGCCGCTGGGTGGGTTGACATTGAATGTCGCAGCGGGCGTAGCAGCTGGTGGTGCAGGTGCCGGCGCAGATCGAGCGAGTCTGCATCATCCCACAATGGTTAGCCAGGTCCGTCAGCGGCATGGCCGTCGGTAAAACGACGCCAGAGCCGGGACAAGTAACTTTTTTAGAAAACGAAGAAATCGACGAGAGAGAGAAAAAAAAAAAGAAGAAGCAAAGTAAAGGTGCGGGATTAGAGGTTATTGCTGACCTTGCTCTCTCCTCCTCCTGCTGCTTCTTGCGCAGGTTCAAAGCCATCATCCTCCACGTCAGATTTTCCATGCGCTGCTGGTTGGGCAACATGTGCTTCGTTTTGCTGAAGAACTTCCACACCTGGGTGGCTAAAGGATCCTCCTTTTGCATCTCCTCGGGGCTCTGGCTAGAGTCCATGGTTGCCTTTTGGAAGGGTGGAAATTCTGAGGATTTCAAAAAATCGTCTTGCGCATTCGGGTAGAGGGCGGCAGAGAGGTCGAGACGTAGGTCCCGAAGACCGGCGGGCAGTTCGCTGGGGCTGTTTTTGGAATGCGCCCGCGTTTGCGTCTGGGTGTGCGCCTGGGCCTGGGCCTGCTGCTGTGCGTGGGACTGGGACTGGGACTGGGAGTGCGACTGCGACTGCGACTGCGACTGTGAGTTGCTGGCGTAGTGGTCGTCAGGCCTCCGCGGGAAGCGAAAGTCGTGCTCTGTTGTTGTGGGATTCATCGAGGTGAATGGACTTGAAGTCGCAATGGGTGACTGAATGGTGGCAGCCATGTGAGGAGGAGCAACGGTGGTGAAGAGAGAAATGGGTGAAGAGTGGTAGGTTCAAGGGAAAGAGGAAGGAGAAGAAAAAAAAAGAGGTTCCTAGTGTAGAGAAGGAAGTCAAGGTTTCGGTTTCGGCGAGTCGAGTCGAGTCGAGTCGAGGGTCACAGGAAGGAATTTCCCCACGTTCGCTTGGCTGCAACTCTCTACCTCACTTCGTTTTCTCTGACTGGGTGGCTTAAAGGGCAGCAGCAGCAGCAGCGGGAGAAGCAGCAGCAGTTTGTCTCCGACTCGGACAGGCCCAGGTTGGTCGGTACGTACAGTAGTGTCGTGGGTACGTAGTATGCGTGCGGTACGAACAGGTAAGGTCGGTAAGGTAGGTAATGTGCGTAGTAAGGTACCTAGCGCCACGTCCAGAGAGACAGGCACACACTTTTAGTACCCGCGCTTGTGACGAAGGAATCCGTATTCTGGGTTCTGGACGGAGTTTGTATGCGTCGGGAGTTGGAGTGGACGGGTGTCTGGAATGTCCAAAGAGGTTTAGAAAGTGTTTAGATGAAGAAGAAAGTTTCGATGGCTGGGCTTTGGACTCGATGTCGCGGCGTCGCCTGGATTTTCCGGGTAATAGCGCGAGATGTAAAAAAAAGAGGCAGCGTCCGTCCCAAGGCACGGGGAGGGGAGGGGGGAAAAGAGAACTACCTACCTTACTGCGTAGTGTAGACTAAGGTAGACGAGACGGGTAACAAGTCGTCACGCAGGTTCGGCGGCGGGAAGGGATCTCTTGACGCAGCAGTAGCCGGCGGAACAGTGGGCATTATTGCGTAGGGAATCGACCGGCTGTTGCTGTCGCCCTTGGTCTTAGGCCCAATAGACGTCTGCGCCTCTAGACGACGGCCGTGGACGGACGATGGAGTACGTAGTTGTGCCGGGCCTTCGTGCAGGGGCAGGCCACGCAGGAGGGAGAGGGGGAGCGTGAAGGTGAAGGTGAGGGGGAGGGAGGGGAGACCGGAGGAAGAGGGGACCGTCGACGTGTGGTGGCCCTGGGGTGGGTGCGTGGGAGTTGGAGTTGGAGTGGGAGTGGAAGTGGGCGGAGGGTGTGGGACACCCATGGATCAGGGACCCGACCTAGTCCCTACGGAGCACTTGTCCTCCTCTTTCTCCTCCTTCTTCGACTAGAGTCTGACCTATTCGTAGACACCCAGACTCAGAGAGAGCTCCTTCACACAATACGGAGTACTTTCCACCATACGCAGTATTGAGTACGGAGTAGGTATTCCTCTCCCACTCTCTTTCACGCCCCAGTCCAAGCAGTCCGTCACTTTCATGATGATGCTCGTGAGAATCACCACCACTCGTCTCTTCCTTCTCCTGCTAGAGCTCGAGACCCAACCACCTGACCTGACTGCCTGGTCATGACCATAATGTAATCTTCCGTCTCTGGACTGAGATGCACCGAAACTTGCGGCCGATCTGTCCCAGAATTATTAAGTTCCTGGTGCTGCTGTTCTCGCTCCTGCTGCAGCAATTGCTAGTGGGGGACAATTTGAACGGGAGAAGATCGGGACACTAAAGAGACGCCCTCCCTTCTTCATCTGCCAACATGCACGCAGGAGGCGCGCCTGCTGCTGCTGCTGCTGCTGCTGTTGCTGCTGGGAACCTGGCGCCTCGGCCTGTCTTCATCCTCCAGAGGCGGGCAACTGGAAGGGCCCCTCTTCAGGGACCACTGGGACCGCTACCTCGCAGGGAAGTGAAAGCCCATCGTCCTTGGAAAGGCCACAGGCCGATCCTAGCCTGCGGTGACAGCAACCGACTGCTCTTCCCGGCACCCAAGGACCAAGGGCCTGTCCACTGCCCAAATGGAAGATTACTTAGCCTCACGAATCGTTGGAGAAACTGGGCCTGCGACTCCCCGTACCGTATGTACTGCCCCGCTGGCTTGTCCCAAGCTGGGAGTATCCCTCTTTTGACCAAATATTCAATACCGCTTCTTTGTAACCCCGATACCTGTCGGGCGGTTCTCCCGAGACGAGACGTTGAGATGAGCCCAGTCGTTCGAGTCTCGACTGCTCCGGCTTTCTGCTGCTCTGCGCCGTAACTGTGTCTCTGAGTCCCTCGTGAACTTCGTGTGAACCAACGTTAAGGTGGCCATAGAAGCTGATGCTCCGCCTATTCCCCGAGACTACTTCAGCCACAGCGGGTGCGAACCTGTGAGCAACCAGTTCAGGAGACATTTGTCAGGCTGACAATGAGACGGCCGTGGACTGACCAGAACGAACAGGCAAAAAATACCGCTCGACCGTACGATGCCGCACTGCCTTTGCTGTGAAGGTTGCACCGAACCGGACTGGTCTGCGTACCAGCGTGCCGGACAGCGGACGTTGAACTGGATTAGAAGAGGTGGAGGCCACTAAAATCAAGAGGCGGCAAGCCCAGAGACGAATGAGAGCCTCGGTGCCGGGTTTGAATGTACCGTCTAGGCTCCGTTCTGCGCTTCGGATTGTGGCCGGTCGGCATTCCTAGCTTGCCTATACGTTGCGACTTTTCGTTTCCTCTCCCTCTGGTAGGCTGGTCTCCAAGACAGACAAGCGCAGACAAGTGCCTGGCTGCCAAACGCTTGCCCAAGAGCTGAAGAAGCGAAAAAAGTAGGTATCGTATGCCTGGCTCTGGTCGGCCCATCCGCCTGCCCCCATCCGTCTCTCGGACTTGGAGAGGAAAGGCTTGTTCATGAATATACCAAACTCATGGGATTCCCTGCCCGCTCTGTCATTTCTCTTAGACTTTAGTTCAAAGGCCAATATACCGTCGACGGCGCCATGATCCAGGAATCCGTAGCTTACACCATCCCGCCGTCAGGTTAGATTTCAGGGTCCTGTCGGGAAACATGGGAGGGAACTTGCAACAAGCAAGGCACGGTCAGAAGCCCGCCCGCCCCTTCGAGTCCCATCTCGGCGGAACTCCACCCAAGACGACTTCACCTCGCGCTAAGGAAGCAAGAGAGAGGAGCAAATCGAGGCACCGCTGCACCAGCCGCGCCGGGCGGCGGTCCCTGACCATGCGTACCGTGGTAATGGCATGGCAGTGCCAACACGCGTGCCCAACGACGTCGCCTGTGGGACCTTTTTCTGACTCCAGAGCCACAGTGACTCTATGTACTGCAGCGTCTTGGCCGTCTTTGACTTCCAGAATCCAGTTCCGGGCTTGGATACCTCGGGTCGACTATTTGTTAGTTGGGTTATTTGGTGGATGGTGAACTCATCTCAAGTTGCTCCTTACAATGGAACGCGGCCCCAGCAACTGAATCCGTCGTCTGTTCATCAGATCTTTCCCCATCCGTTTGCCTTCCCAAACCCCTCCAAACCGTGACCCGCATCCATCACCCGCCGCACCACTTTGTTCTCGGGAATACGTTGGCAATACTTTGGCTTGTGCATGGTGAACGCGCATTTCAAAACACTGGGTTAATTTCAGTTCATTACGAATAGAGATCTGCTGTCCTTGAATGATCGCAGGCTGCGGTACCCGTACATCCTAAATTGAACCCCATGGAGAGGGAGGAGCCACATATTGGTGATTTAGTCCAGGGTCCAGCGCGGGCTCACCTCCCAGGGGCAGCTTGGAGTTTCTTCAGTACGTTTGGTGTTGTTAATTAGAGGCTCAAGTGCTGTCCGGTACTTCGTCCTTGTCGCAGTATAATGCGCTTCCGGCTGCCATCGGATCGGAGATGGGGGTTCATGTCCAATTACGGATGGCTGATGGTTCTTGAAGGAGTGAGCGTTCGTAGCCCGGTTAGGACAAGCTCATGCCAGGGGATCGGTGGTGATTAATGATTGGTGCGCCCGCTGCGGCTTAGTGATGAGGTTGGTATGGCTGTAGCGTTAATGAGTGCATTGACAAGTTCGCAAGGAACTGCAAGTTGGAGGCTTTATCCAATGCTCATCACGGATCTGTTGCTTGATTGATCCATGGGGCACCCACCGAGAAGCGAGCGAGAATTCGGGCGCATTGGACCGTGGCAAGCGTGGCTTGCGACCGGTTCGAACCCCACCAGCTGCCCTTCACCTGCTTTCTTCCCTGCCGATGCGCTTGGATCGATGCCGCCAATGAGAGACGTCGGCATGCAATAGCCCTGAACGGGTCGGAAGTCCAAGGTCTCGTACCGCGGCACTACTTTGCCCATGGCCTCGATGAAGCTGTCGAACGTCTAGAACCAGGCTTCTAGCCGTCGAAAGGTACCAGTATTGGCGACAAAGGACCCCCCCCTTGACACTTCATCCCACGCTGCACGTCTGTGTCTGAGCCAGCCGAACGTGCTCTGACCATTGTATGGAACGATGCCGCCCACCGCGAAATCGCTGCGACATAGGCAAAACCGACCACCCGTGCCATCTTGTTGCGGCAGTAGATGAGGCTGGGTCGTTCTAGCGCATGTATCCGCTGGTGGCTGCACCTTCGCCCGTTCCATGACGAAGCTTGAGTGGAGTTCACACGTGCGGTGGACAGACCAAGATGGCAGTGGCCAGCCTCTCGCTGAACTCCCTTGGCGGCGGATACGTTATTGCGTAGATGCGTGGGTAGTCATCGGTACGGAGTACCCATCCTCGCTTCTTTGTGATGATGGGTCTCGTCAGCCTTAGGCTTGGAGAAGACGGGAATTATTCTGAATGTGCCGCTGGACTCGCTGTGTTCCATGTTGAACACAGGGGACGGGGGCAGGACAACGGTGGCACGGCTGCGACCTGGCCTGTCGACCTGGATTCGCGTCCACCTCTGGTCCCCCACGCGGCAGGCAACGTCTGAGCAATTGATGGTCATCCGATGGCAGGTCGATGGAGATGGAGAGTTTGGAGGGAAGCACGGACTCAAGCAGGGAGTCAACTCTGCTCGAAAGACATTGTAACTTGCTAGCCCACAGGGCCGAGCATGAGTTTAGGCTAATGAGAGCCGCGTGTTTTGTTCGATATCCGTAGATCGTTCGTCCATGCTAATGGAGGCAATCTCGCGGCAGGCCGCAGGAGTGCAAGGTGGTAGGCCCAGGCCACGAACCAGGATTGGTGGACATCTCAGAGCAGACTTGACTTGGGGGCCAGTCGAGTTGAATATGATCTGCCAGCGACTGTAAGAGGAAAGGAGAGGGGAGCGAAAAGGCAACGGAAGAATACCGAGCTCTATTTCGGGGCCATGCCGGTCCGGATGCAGAGGGTGAGGAGATGTCGAGGCAGAAGAAAGTGCCTCATAGCTAGCCGTTGTGGTTGATGGATGATGTACTATGGTGGTGGGATACTCGAGACTTGAGAGTCGAGAGTGGCCTTCGCTTGTATTCCGATGCTCCGATGCAGGTGTGCTGCAGCTCGCGAGACTAGGCCGGCATTGAGGGTTTGAGAGAAACAAAGGGCGTCAGCGTGCAGGAGAGGACAGAACGATATGCAGGAAGATGATACCTTGGGTAGGGAGAATAGCTAGCAAGCATCGAACCCGGCTGCAGACCCTCTCGGATGGACGTTGAGTATTCGTACGGATAGAGGTAGAGTTGACAGGCGAGGTGAGCGAGGGATCCGCAAGGTGAGGAAGGAAGACGGCAAGGGGGGCAATGCAACAAACCTCGAGGTGTGGTTCTGGATGAATGTACGGGATACCACCTCTTTTGCGGTTGCTGCATGTGCC